TTTTTTATTAAAATAAAGCCAGATTAATTTAAATATATTTAATTTAATTTAGTTAAATTAAAGCAGTTATAGTGGAATATACTTTGAAACAAATTCAAAATGTACCAAAATGGTTTCAAATTGTTTTTGCATTGAATCTGAATCAGATTCAATTTTGAATCAGATTTGGATTTGGATTTGAATTTGGATTGGATTCAAATCAGATTTGAATCGAATTAAATCAAATCAAATTCAGATTCAAATCGAATCGGATTAAACTGTTATAGTTTCAAATCAGATCAGATCAGTTTAAAATGAATTGGATCCATATTCGATTCGTATTCATAAAAATCAGATTGAATCAAATCTAGTTAAAATCTGATCCAATTCAATCCATTGTGATCACTAACTGTGAAGTTGACATTGGCTCCTCTTTTCTGACTGTGAATCAGTTTATGTTGATTTCTTTTCTTCTTCTTGAAAAAGGAAAAAAAGCCAAAGTTATTGTTGTATGTATGTATTTTTCAACAATCTATTGCTCTAGGGCTATGCACAAAATATTGTTTTATACTAGGATGACTATTGTATACTAGTGTTGTAAGAATATGTGTCTTTAATTATAGATGTTTCTCTTTGTTTGGGTAAATTGCCTAAAAAGAAAATTTTTTAAGGATCTGAGGGATTTACAATTTAAATTTAAATTTTCTTCTTTAATATTTGATATATATACAATATATATATATATATTATAATTAATTATTGATTTAAAAAATTTATATGAAAATTTAGAATATTTTAAATAGCTATTTCATTTATTTTTATTCTTATTTTATTATTTTTTCTTATAATTTAATTTAACCTATTTTGTTTTCTTATATTTTTGATTAATATTTTTAAGTTTTTTATTTTAAATTATTTCTATTTTTCTTCTTGAAAATTTAATAATTTAATAAGTACTCTATTGTTTCAATTGGATTTTTACAAAATGAAAATCTTATATCTCTGATTTCTTGATTTTTAGTTTTATTAATACTGTATTAATAACTTATTGCTCATTATTTTAATCCATTTGATTTGAGAACTTTTTTTTATCAAGTTTCAAGTATGCACTATTGTTAATTTTATATTTGGTTTTCTTATTTTTTAACTATACTATTCTGTTTTATTTATTGGTATACTGTATGACAATTTTGCTATTCGTGATTTTTGAAAACCAGTTTAGAATATGGTCTTGCTATTTTACTTCTATTAGGATTTTGTTTGCAATCAAGTCTTTCTATCCTATATACAGTATAAATTTCCTTTATTAACATACTGTACGTATCTACTATATTATCGAATTAGTCACCTGCTTGCACCTTGACTTTTGTTAGCTATATAGTTTTATTTGGTTTGTCTTTTTTAGAACCTCCATTGCTCTAACCCATAGTAACCAGGTTTTCTCCTTGAGTCATCTTTTGTAAGTTGTTAAAAATATAATGCTAATAGGCCTATTGTTATACCATGGGTCCTTTTTCTTTTTGATTACATAACAAAAGCCTTACACGTCGCTGTAAAGATCCAATTTCCGTTGATGCATGTTCTAGTCTTTTCATAAAATTTTATGAAACATTCTACTACGAAAGACTTCGTCCAATAAATCACACTGGATATTATTAGTTGCGTCGAAACGTATATTGCGAAATTAAGATAAACGTCTAGACCAAAGAGTGTTTCTTTTTTATTCAATTTTTCCAGACACTATGTTCCACTTTTTAATTTGCTTGCATATTGTAAAGTTCAGTTTTACGTGTGACGAATCATTTAATCATCCAATTCATGTAAAATTGTTAAAGCAGTCCCTGCAAATAACTACAACGGTGAATGATTTCAAATCAGCTTTATTCAGTTGGTTGGTAAGAGAAATTAGGAATCCGGAAATTTTTTGTTCTCAATTATGTACAAGGAGATTTGTATATTTCAAAGTCCAATAATTTTTTTACAGAATTTACTAGTTACAATATGATTTACAAGAAAAAAAAGTTTGGCATCACATGAAATCTTTGTTTCCGGTTTCTTTGATGGTTTTTTTCAAATACCCAAATTTGAGAAGTCGTTGGGCAAGTCATACTCCAGGGAAAATTCAGAATCTAAGGAAAAAAAAAAGAATTAAAAAAATATATACAGCATATATTATTTCGGGTTCCATAATAAAGAATTATCAGTTGTCTTCTAAGCAAATATTTACCATTATAATAGGATTCAATTTCATTATCAGTGGTGGGTGATGGTTGAGGAGGAGGAGCTTGTTGTAAACCAGATATCTCAAAATTCAAAAGTCTACTTGTATACACCGCACCGGGATGTATCTCGAATCCTCCATTTCTCTCGCACATCTGCTCATTCATCTCCCTCACACAAACATCGTTTTCATCCGTAAATTCGCTTCTTGTCCTCGACGTAAACCTCTCACTACCCTCGCTACTTTCGCTTCCATAGTCACTTGCAAAATCATCGCTGTCCCAATCATCGCTCGCGGACGATCCCATCATCTCCATTCGTTGACCGTACTCCGCCTCCTCCTGTACTTTCTGTTCTGCTTTCAAGAATCCTAGACGAATGTCTTTGCATTTCGCGTTCGCGTCCAGACTACCATTCGCGCACTGATACCAATGTGGTAGTATGATCGACAGGTGTTTGACAGTGGGCCGCTTCAATGGATTCTCATGGCAACAATGTGCTGCCAAATTCACGTAATTTTCCGGTGCAAATCCTTCGGTGACCATCGGCCGCCTCCCTCTGCACACCTCGGAGGCCAAATCATGATCGTGAGCTCGGTCATGAAACGGCGGCTTTCCATTGGCAATTTCGACCATCAATACACCAATACTATAGATGTCCGAGTATTTACTCACGGGATTTCCTAGCAACACTTCGGGCGCAATGAACGGCAATACGCCATAACACAAACTATTACCTCGCAGAGATTCAGCGGTTGTTGATATCGGACAAGTACTATCCGCCGGTATGCACAATCCAAGATCCGATATCGAAGAATGGGTTTCCCGACGATCTTTGCCCGTTTGGAGGATATTACCGGTGTGCAAATTACCGTGAACGTGACCTTCTTTGTGAATGATGGCGAGATTGGAAATAATGTCACAGAGCCACCAAAGTTTTTCCGTCCATCGGAAGCGAGAGAAGGAACGAGGAGAGGAATGCATGAATTGCCGGAGGTTTCCACGATTGGCGTATTGTGTAACCAACATGTATTCGCCGGTGGAGGGATACTGGGTGATACCGTAGAATTGAAGGTAGTTGTGAATACGCTTTGGGCATTCCGTGGAATGGAGGTAATAGGTTTTAAGCTATTGACATCAGGGAAAAAAAAAAGGAAAAGAGATAAAATCGAGGTGAGTAGGGATATCTCTATCATAGTCATCACGTACGAAAAGGAAGGCATACATTTTGAACATAGTACGGGGTGATACTCTGGGAATTTTTAATGCTCTTCAATGCTACCACCGTCTGAGAGCAACGTTGCCCTTTATCACCTGTTCGGCGTCCATCCGTCCAGGTTGCCTTGTAGACAACACTGAATGCACCCTCGCCAACCTCATAAATCTCCTTAAATTGGTTGAAATCGATCCATTCCAAATAATTATCGGGCCATGCACTGGCCTTTCGTTGAGTCTTCTGAATGAGTTTGTCGATTTCTTCATTACCGCTAGTCCAGCCGCTTTGCATGCATTTCTTGCACCAACCTCGAGCGTTAAGGAAGCGGAGGAGATGTTGACATTTGGTGGACGAAGATTGTTGACACTTGACAGAGTTTGTGGAAACTTCTGAAGATAAGACGGATGAGGAGATGCTGGTTTCCATTCCTGTACTGATGTCGCGAGGAATTGATTGGGATTTTTTAGAGCGAGATTTTTTGGGAGAAGCAACTAATGAAAAGAGATTAAAACTTTTTGTGCAAAATTTATGACTTGAGAATCCGATTCCCATAAAATTATTAGATGAGGAAATTTAAAATAATGATACTTTTGTGTATATGAAAATGTTGGGATTCATCGAAGACAGGATTATTGTTTGTTAGAGAATGTAAATTTTTTCGTTAGTCCTGCTCACGAAAAAATTTTATTCAAACAATAGAATGTTGGACTGAAACCAAACTTAATGAAAAGATCTCGACGAAATCCCCTCGAGTATTTATACTCACGAGTCAGCTAATCTATATTACCGTTGCGCAATAACAAGAATTTTTTATTTCATCCGTAATACAGTATACACACACATAATATGACGAGAGCTACAAATGAATAATAGTAATTCATTTTTCAATATGATTGACATTGTTTATGTTCATAAAATTAAATTTTTGGTAATCATGTAGGACGAGCGTAACAAATAGGTAAGCAAAAAAAAAAAAAGCGATTGAAATTCCGACTAAAACCGGAAACGAATGGTCTTTTGCACAGGAGAGCATTGATGTGCATGATTCTCAAACAGGGTTGGGTTTTCTATTGTTTTAATGTTTTAATACAATTTCGAATTTGGTAATTTGATCATCGTAATATTCGGGGGTGATGAATTTAATGCTCATTCAATTCGTCCTTTTATTAATCATGCGAAAGTAATATCGGAATATTTATTGAAATGATTTGTACGTACCCATGAATGGGCACCCATGTACGCACGCACCATTGTAAAATAGCAATAAGCACACAATATTTAGAGATCACTCTAATATACAGTAGAATGGAAGTTTTGTATCGAAGCAAGTTAGTAGTGACCCGCGTGACTTATAATGGAACGCACGAAGAAGAGAGCCATACGACCTGAATTGTACATCCTATTTCAGGCATCATTTTTTGATATTGTGGAGTTTTTCGCACCTAGTTTTTACATTATAAATATCGAAGTTAGTTGGACAAGATTAAGATCTATTGTTCTGATTTTCAGGATGATATGAATTACTATTGTTTTATTAATCCGTTCTAAAAATACCGACGTATTATTGTTATGTGTACGTGTGTACATGCGTAGTAACTTCAAACGTATGCACGTCCCTTACAAAAATGGGACATTACACAATCCATTAAAGGAAATACTCTATATCGAATTTACCTAGAGTTGTTTCGGATTTATGCTTGATGCGTCTCCTGCTAATACTGCAGGCCAAACCTTAAATTCTTAAACTCTAGTTTAGCTTAGCGAGATTCTTTTATATTACATGTATCGTTATCATTCCAATTTTGTCATCCCTTTTCGAAGGTAGACGAGATTCTTTTTGAAACTATAATTATAGTCCTAAATCTATTTTATTCAGGAAATGAGGACTGAAAACTAAAAAATTACATAAAATATTTTGCTGCTTGCAAAACTATGTGAACGAGACCCGATATCTTTGGAGAGCATAAATAAAATTACCTCAGTTAACAATACATATAGTCTTAAATATTGTCTTCGCAATTATGGCTTTTAAATGTTACGAGACCTCATTATGATGATAAGGTTGGCAATCAACAGGTTTGTCTGTGGCCTATTTGTAACAATGACGCGAACTTTTAAGGCGGAATTGAGAATTGATTTGATTCTTGATGATATCTGATCATTTTACATTCCATTGTTCCGTAAAGAATTAGGTTTAAAGATTCTCGTAATAGTGGGGAATGAAATTTTTTAAAATGAAATGATTACATAAAAAATAGATAATCGTAATCCCCATGGTATCGATATCAGTGGACATTCAGAGTAATATTCTCACGACACCAAAGCTGGGTGTATAACCTGTTAGATAATCTCCAATTAACAATTGATGATCTAGCTCTTTCTCTCGTATTACGTCTTAGACTCATGACAAGACAATTCGAACAAATGGTGTACGATTATTCCTGGCCTTTCAATTGTTTCTTTTTTTAAAAAAAATTTTTTGGGGGGGTTACTAACTAGCTATAACGTAATCATTTATTCTTAATAATCTAGATGATATAACGTGAGTGACCCATCGGTGTTAGGTATAGTGTTTAAAATAACCTGCTTGGTTGCTAACCGGTGATCCATGATCTACCTCCGTCAATAAAAATATTTTTTGTTTTAATTCTAGGATTACGATGATGGAATTAGAAGATATCGATTATTCATCGGAAGCTATTATCCATATGCATATGATTTACTAATTTAACCATTTTTTGGTCAAATTGTAATGGTTAGGGTTCAAATCAGATTAAACTAGTTTTGATCAAATTACTTAATATTCCCAATTAAGCATATACTGTAAAAAAAATTTTTTTTTTTCTAATCATAAGAACTAACCCCTATAATCAAATTCTATCTCGCATTTTTTATTATGATATAGTAAAATTGTAGATAAAATTTATAAATAATTGTATATTCTTTTATTACTTTTTTTTTTATCATCGGATTTACGACAATTATACAACTAAATATTTTATTAAAGTCAAATATTAACTTAGTTTTTTTTTTTTTTTTTTTTTAACCCGCTGTCAGGCTAGTTATGTGCGCTTTATTAAACAAAAGTAAACTATA